TATAGTCACAGGTTGTGCAATTATGACTCTCTAGTCTCAGGACGTTTTCATTAACCAAAGGTAGCAAGGGAGCTGGGATGCTGAGCAGGACCACACATGACTTGCCGCAGAGGGCATGCAAATTTGGGCCAGAGCTGACATGGGGATTGAGGGTCTCTCCACTAGAAGGCCTCTTTCTTCATCCATTGTACACACATAGCACCCTACCTCTTCTCCCATTAAAACAGAACAACTTATTTAAAGACTATGGACTTCCTGAAATATTTATGAATAAGATGCTATGTCTGTGAATTAATTTCCAATAACCGGCTCAGAGGGTGGGATGGCTGGGAACATGAATGGAATGGAGACTGGCCATTTTGTTAATAATTGTTAAACCTCGGTGATTGGGAACATGGAAGTTCATTATACTATTCTGCTTCCTTCTGTAATAGACATTTTTCATAATTTTATTTTTCTTCACTAAAGAGTACAGGCTTGAAGGAGTGTCAAACTATGAGCTTGCCTGGGGCGACCACAAGTCTTGCTTCAGCCATGGATAAAAGAAAAGGGATTTGATGCCACCAAGAGGAATAAAAGATCTGGAATGGAAAGGGAGAATGAGTGGGTGCTGGGGACCACCCACCGTTAGGGGCAGGAGGAAGACCTGCGGGCAGATGACAGATGGTTCCTCACTGTGTGAGCCAGTCAGGCTGAGCATGGGGCGGACGGACGCAGGGATCGCGTGGAAGGAGAAGTCACTGCTTCCTGGAAAATCAGGCCGCCGGGGCCCAAGAAACCACATTAGGCCTTGAGAGGCAACTTTGGGGCACTTGAGTATCGCTTTCCTATGCTGTCGCCATCGACTCCACAGGAACTGAATGTGTGTCCCCCCCAAACTCATAGGTGGACATCCTAGCGCCCAGTGTGCTGGTGTTAGGAGCAGGGGCCTCTGGGAGGTGATAAGGTCCTGAGGGAGAGTCCTCATCACGCATGGGATTAGTGCCCTTACAGAGGAGACCCCAGAGAGCTCCGTCCCCCCCTCTGCCACGTGAGGGCACTGCAAAAAGACAACCGTCTAGGAACCAGGAAGAGGACCAGCACCAGACACGGAGTCTGCCAGTGCTTTGATCTTGGACTTCCCAGCCTCCAGAACGGTGAGACATAAATGTCTTGTGTTTGTGGGTGCCCGTGTCTGTTGTATTCTTGTCACAAGCCCCTGCTGGCGATGACTATTTTTTGTGAGGCGCCCCTTTTCTGAAGAGTGAGAGGTCTCTCTCGCCCAACTCTGCTTTACTTGTCCCATCCCTTAGGCGTGATCCCAAGGGCTGATAACCTGAAATAGCGCCACATACTCTCTGCTCCCCACGCGCCACCCTTCTGACATCCCGCGGTTTGCTGTTCTGGCTCCTCACTGTTCCTCTCCCTCTTCCTCCTCCTCCAAACCCCCTCCTCCCTCCTCCTTCTTTAATCGGACAGACTTGAGATGGTCCCGGACAACTCTGATCTTATGATTACCTCTTTAACACCAGAAATGTCACACTGAGGCTCACGGTCGGTTCTATATTGATTCTACTGTGGATAGCCACCCTCTCTCCAAGGACATTGTGTAGCAGATATGATCAGGCTCCCAAAATCCATTTTGGAAAACAGGAAGATCAAACCTTAGCAACAGGGTTCTTTCAAGTGCTTTGGGCGTGCTCTCTGAATTTCAAGGTCTCTTTCTACCTGAAGAGAGGTTACCTCTAAATGCGAATCTGGGTAGATTCCCCAGGACGTTACCTGAGTCTTCTCTCCTTTTAGGGTCTCGGCCACTCAAATGGCTGGGCTCTTAAAGAAAATGTTTCAAGAAAAATATTTGGAAAGTAAAAAAAAAAAAAAAAAGCACCCATTGCTTTTGTACAGGTTCCTTTAAAAGCATATGTGTTAATTGATGCTTTATTAGAGAGGGCAGTACCAGGGACGCAAGAGTGAGGGCAGGAGGGAAGTGAGACAGAAAAGGAGGAAGGGTGACTTCGAGGTGGACTTTGAAGTTGGCTCAGCTGATTGCTGGGGCTTGTGGGATGTGCCTGGCAGGATGTGTGAAACCAGTGAATCCCAGAACGGTCCAGTGGCACGGGGCGGGCATTGGTTGGGGTGGGGGTCCATGGGGGAAGGCGAGCAATTTGTCTGCTCATTCCATGTCTCTCATTAGCCCTCCCCAATTTCTAGAGGATGCTCCTCTCGTTGGTTGGTCCTGGGTGCTGAGGCGGCTGTGGCCTTGGCCTGTGGTCTTCTGAGAACATTGGAAATGTTAGGAGCTGAGGTTAACTGTCGCACTGTGTGGGGCTTTGCAACCAGGGGACCTGTGTGAGCTGTGGCTGGTGGTATTCATGTCCCCAATGGGGGTGGGGGAGGGTGCAGGTGAGATGAGCGGATCTGGGTCTGCCATATGCATAATCCATTTACAAAATTGTTTAGTAGAATTCCTCCCATCNGAGCGGCGGCGGTCATGGGGGTCACTTGTCTGTGGATGCTTCGCGGCGTCACGGGGCGGCCCCTCTGTTGAAGGAGAATAGAGGGGTCGTAAGGTGGCCTCTGGTATGGGCGCATCCTGGGGAGGAAGCGAGGACCGTCCGGCTCGCAGACCCTCCCCGACGTACTGATCACAGACGGACCTGGCGGCGCCCGGCCCTGCGCTCCAGTACAGGCGTCCTTCACCCAGAGGGGCGCAAGGATCGAGGGGTGCTGTACCCCCAACCGCGCCCGGCTCACCTGCCAGCCGAGCCACGTCCATTAGCGGCTCCTTGTGAGAAAAACGCCACTTCCCAGAGGAGGCGAGGCCGGGGTTTGTATCTGAGCACCATGACTTTTCTCGTCCCAAACCCCTGCATCCCCCGGTCCTTTTGACCTGGCTGAATCCACTCGTCCATACGACACCGCCCCCCACCCCCAGGATAGCCTTTCCTGAACCCACCACCCCTCCCCTCTTCTCATCCCCCACGCAGGGGTTGGGGACCCTCCTGCACTGCCACAGCCCCTCTACCTTCTCCCCTGAAACTGCTCTTAGCATAGAGTTTGAACAGTGTGGTGGTTACACGTCTCCCCCAGCAAACTTGCAGGCAGAAAAAAACCTTACCGCCCTTGTAAAGCCCACCCGATCTGGCACATGTTGATTAAAACTTTAAAAAATATTTTTTAAAAAAATGTATAGGACATTGACTTTAATTTAATTTAAATATATACTCGTATAACGCTTACCCTCATCGTGTGCCAGGCATTATTCTAAATGTTTTACAAATATTTCCTCATTTAATTCATACTCCGTGGGTTCTCAGAGTGTGGCTTGAATCAACATATGCCATGGCCACACAAAGTGCTAGAGAACAGTTAGCTTTATTATTATTATTATTATTATTATTATTATTATTATTAAAGAAACCTGGAGGAGATATCCTGTCTGGGTGTGGATGTAAATGTCAGGCTGACAACCTGGAATATGGACCTGGATCTCGGGACTAGAGCAGATAAGACCTATACTGACCTTCATTCATTCAGGAAACGCATGCCAGGTACTCTGCTAAACCTGGGGGTTATGGCAATATACAAGGATAGGATCAGTGCTCTTGTGGGAAACAGACAGCAAACAAGTAAAACCAGAACTAAACTAATTTTGGATGAAACAAGAGGATGAAGAAAGGGGAGGAATCAAGGTATTAGCATCACAGAAACCAGGTGTGTTAGCGCTCTTCAACTGCAATAGAAGTACCAGACCGTATCTTTTCACCGATAAATATTTTTTTACTGATAAATATTTTAAGATGTATTTCTAAAACATATTGAAGCTATATTGCCCACAGTGCCATTATTACACCTGAAGAAATTAACAGTAATTTCTTCATATCAAATATG